TATTCGGTTTATTAGGACCGCTTTAAACCGCGCAATCAATAAACGCAAAATCAAGCGGTGTCGATTTGGTCGCGGTTTCCGGCGGCGTCACAAAACCTAATAAAAGGTCTGACTTTCGCGGTGCTCCTAAGCCGTTACAGTTCGCGGTTTCTCGCACCGTGAAAAACCGCGGTTTTCATCCCAAAATTTTTTCGTGGGTTATCAATAATTACGTTTGTTGCGGGTCTAGCAAATAGTATTTGTTCAATTTTAACATTTCAAAATGCAAATTTAAAAAAAAATGGATGTGGTTTGTATCTTCTGGCATCATCGATTACTTCTCTTTTGACAATTACTATGTTTACAACCAAATTTTGGTTTGTTGTTGTCACGAGCATGCTTATACCTATTCGTGACTCTATTCTTGAAGGTGGTTGTAAGTCAATTGAAACTCTTCTCAACCTTTTCTTTTATTGGGATGCCTGGCTGAATGCATGTGTAGCAATTGAGCGTGCAGTGAATGCTTACAAAGGAATAAGTTTTAATCAAAAGAAAAGTAAACGATTTGCTCGATGGATCATATTCATTCTACCTATTCTGATTATGGCCACGATTATTCATGAACCGCTATACCGAAAATCATTCAAACATGGATTAATACGAGAGGTGACGTCGTCTGAAGACTTGGATGCGAAAAAATCTGTAATAGGGGATATTTGGTGTTTAGCTGATTATTCTCCAGCAGTTCAAGATTATAGCACAACTATTTTATTTATTCATCTTCTGGGTCCATTTATTGCAAATCTTTTTTCTGCTTTATTTATCATCATTAGTAGTGCTCGACGACGAGCAGGCGTTCAAACACAACAAACATATAGACAACATATTCGTGAACAATGGCAAGAACATAAACAGCTTGTCATTAGTCCTATAATTCTACTACTTTTATCGACACCACGTCTGGTCATTTCTTTAATATATGGATGTGTAGATGTATCCCGATCTGTCTGGTTGTACCTTTCTGCTTATTTTATTTCGTTTGTACCATCAGTACTCATGTTTGTTATCTTTGTCCTTCCCTCCAGTTCCTATCGAACAACTTTCAAGGAAACAATCTCTCGAATTTGTCATAGGCGAGCCTCATAGAACAAATTGGCATTATTCGCATCTGTTTGATTATATAATCAATTACAAATCCTTTGCCGCACACTTAAACATGATCGTGACGAAACCCACCATCGGCTTTTAATCCTTGATTAGTGTTAAAAGAGTCTCATTAATAAAATTTGAGTGTGTGGGTGTGATATAGATAGAGAATGCTACGACTATAGTTTCGTCCTTTCTCAAGGGACGTTCATCAGGTAGCTTATGATAGGGCTCATGATCGGAATCGAGTTCTAGAGGAGGTAGTATTCTGAGTCGCTTTTATCGTAGTGCAGTGAAGAATGATGAAGTGAAGTTTTTTTTATTATGTGGCTTATCGTGACAAAAGGGAACTACGCAATGGAGAAATGAACATGGAGGTTGTAAAGTTTCAATTACTTGTTGATTTTGACGATTATCGGTGGTGATAGCGAGAACGTCTTGGCCTTACACGCACTAGTAGTAGTATAGGGGCTAAAATAGGATTTATTTGGTGAAAAGTGAGATCGGTTTAGATCTCTTAGTATCTACGATTAAGAGGTGTGGGTTGTCAACTGTGAGGTGCTGAGGCAGACTTCGGTTGAGCTGGAAAACTTGATGAGGAGACCGGTTCACTCGGTCTGCTGGCTGAGGGTTTAGCGGTGACAAATAATTTGTGCCTGGTTCTTCGTCTGTCGGCAGCCCTATTGTAGGGATTGACTGTGAATATGAAAATAAATGAGTGGTCGAACGGGGTACATGTACTCACGTTTGGTTTGACATGACTTTGATGTGTAATGTACTGGTCGATGGACTTTTCGGCAATGACCGAGTGAATAAATGATAATAACTGTCGTCGAGAATACAATTAGTGTAACGAGCAGAGTTATAATGAAAATACGAATGAGAATGATGGGTGGTGAGTTGAAGTCGAGTGAATTGGTAGTTGACAATTGACCTGTTTGATGCGAATAGACAGAAAACACAATGAACGATATTTCTTTGCGATCTCTCTGTAGCTCTACATCGCCTGTGATGCTCGAAAGTAGATGATTGAATCGAACACATATAGGGACATGTGGTTTAGTGGTTGTCGTTGCTATCATGTGAGGACTCCTTATATTTGAACAAGGTTGAGTCGTCTTAAGCAGTTGCTCTTCCAATTGATCACATGAAATATATTTGGATCCAAGCCAGCAGTCCTGTGTATTTTTTCTATAGAACTGACACGGATTCGCTCGGAGCAATCGACCACTTGATGAAATATGCTTCATTTGAAAAGTGACTTTGATTCGGATAAACTTGGAAAAGTTGCTAAGAAATGCTATCTGAAACGGTCACCGTAAGGAACTAAGCTGAAGAATCCTTATATTGCTAAGACATCGTAAAAATCATGAGTGTTACGACTTCACAAGTGTCTCCAGAGAGGTTAAATCACTTGATTGGCTGAAACTTATTGTTTTATTATGGAAGATGATCAGCAGAAACGTCAAGATTGTCGAATAATCGGAACAGATACATTTCATTTCGCATTCGTACATATTCGAGAGCTTCAAATATAATATCACCTAAATCTACTATACTACACATCTCGGAATTCCTTACTTATTTGGAAAATTTGATGTATGACTGAGTTGTGGTACGATTGAGCGGTTCTATATTGCTGAGAAAGGTCTGTTCATATATACAATAGACAAAGAAGCTATGGTTAAGTTTAGATAAATAGGTTTAAACTTAGGGGGAAACAGCGATACTACAATACTCCAAAAAGAATTTAGAGTATCGTGGAGTATTATCGGAGTGTTGTGAAGTATCACTGGAGTATGACCGGAGTACGCTGGAGTATGGCCGGAGTATGCTGGAGTATGAGTGGAGTGCTGGAGTATTGGAGTATCGCTGTTTCCCCCTAGTCTTTATCCTACGATGCTTTCCGCTAAATAGTCGCTTTGAAAACAAATAAAGAAAAACACGATTTTCTCCAACAAGGGAAACTCATCGCCGTTGGTGCAAAAAAACTCCCCAGTGATATTAATTCATTCGAAACACGAGCTAAATATATATTATTTGATAAATCGTTCAGCGGTTCCGCGTGTTATTTAAGTAATTGATAGAATTAACAATAATTACAGAAATCAAACTAAAATAGAAACTGAGTTATATTCCCGCTGAGCAAATTTATCGCGTCAACGAACCTGAAATCCGACACACGCTCACCCTCGCCATCAAGATATTCTATTGAAGATTATATCCATCGAAGAAAAAAAATTGCGAGCAGCGCAATCACATCTATTTCGCGCATTGAAATGACGGAGCTAATTTCTGAAGATAAATCTCACAGTAAATATTTTCACAAAATGGTTCGATTTAAAAGCTTTCATGAGTCAAAATACATAGATAAATAAATGAAATTGATTTTTTTTCTCAGTACTTAATCGAAGTGATACAACGCATTTTTCTTCATTCTATTCGCATTCAAACAATGACAATGGTTATCAATATTTTACTTACTTTGTTGCTGCTTAGTTCTTGGTCACTTGCTGATACATCATGTAAGATAAATACAAAACAATACATTTCTTTTTAACATTTCTTCTGCATTCAGCGTCCACTCTTGATTGCTCATCATTCCAATCAGACAGAGATATCATTCGCTCATTCCAGTTTCGTATATTGATCAATCCACCAGAGAGTGCCATCAGTGTAGATGATACTTATGCAATGGTTAATAATCAAGGTCAAGTCACAGAATTAAATTTCTGGGGTAAAAGTGTTCCATCATCTATTTACTGTTTGAAAAACTTGAATTCATTAAATATTCAATACACAAGCAATTTCAGTATTTCGACAGAGATTGTGCGTCTGTCTGGGGTTCTTAGAAAGCTCACGCTGTCGAATATATCTCAGTTGCGTTCTCTTCCAATCGAATTGTTCAAAGTTTTGAGTCTGCAAAGTCTCACTATCTCTAATTCCGGCCTTGAAACCCTACCTGAAGAGATTGGACAATTGTCTTCATTGGCAACGCTCGACCTGACTTATAATCGGCTTCGGTCATTACCCAATAGCTTAGGTACGATGTGGCCCCTTATTGAATTACGACTGGATAAAAATCCTCTTACTTCGCTCGATGCTCTCACTGGAAGTCCAAGATTATCTCAGTTGAGTGCTTCTAATTGTGCCATTGATCATCTGCCAACAAATCTAACACGCTTGCGATCATTCAATCTGTATGGAAATCGATTGACATCATTGAATACTCTCGATTCGCTAGGCGTATACGGCGCGGAATCGATGAAATTCGGTAAGAACAATATTACAAGCCTTCCTGCAACGGTGAACAGACTTCAGGTTGTCCAAAACTTGGATTTATCAAATAATTTACTTACAGAATTACCTATGTGGATGTACAACGTTCAAATCAAAGAAATTAATTTACGCCAAAACAAATTCGATGAAAAAGAATGGGATTGGATCGTAGGAATGTTTCGAATTTCAAATACAACAGTTAATTTCTGATTGACTATTCATTGAAAAACAATGTTCATGGAATTGAATGATGAAGTTTATATCATAGATATTGTTATCTACGAGAATTCAATTGTTCTTGAATAAAAAGATTCCACATCATCACTTAAATATGAATATTTTAACATTTGAATTCTTCGGCTGCAAAAGTCATAAATAAGAGAACTATGATAGAAGATCCTGAAAAACAGATGTAAAATCGATTTTTTATATTTGCCTATTTATTTGCCAAGACGAGAATATGTAACGCGGAACACCTTCGTTCGATCACACTCTGTTAGCAGCATCTCTTGAAATGTTTACAGTATGTTAATGGTTCGTGTACGCGATTCGTCAGTCACTCATTTCTCGACCAGTTACTTGAATTGAAGATCTCTCCAGCGAAGTTTTTTAATGAAATTTTTGATTATCCAATGATTGTGACATATGCAAAGCATTTTCGAATCTGAACATTGTCTGTCTCTGTTGCTCAAGGTTGATCTCGACCAAAACTCACACTCCGAGATTCAAATATTATTGCCAACAAATTGCAATTTCTAACAAAAAATGTCAAATTGTTACATTGAGTTTATCACGTTCTTCGAAAATCCATCGATTCTTCATCTAATTGTCTTGAATCACTTGTTCTCGATCATATTCACTTGTACAAACTCATCTGATTTCTCTTTAACTTAGCATCTCTTCCTCGTTTCTCGTCAATGATAATTTATCTGGACGATCATTTACAACATCTCAACGATATCTATCAACTCATTTTCGATGTGTCCGTCTTAAACTACAACAAACTGTCATTATCATCAACTGACGAAAGATTCTTACTGCCCATTGTTCAACCGGATCAATTCAGTTCGATTGTATATCTGCATATGAATCATTCATGTACTTACTGATAAACTCCTGAAGATGTTCACCTATACACCTATTGACTGCGTTATTTACATTCATATGTAGAAGGAGAGATTCCAATAACAACGTTCAATTTGAACTTTTCATAGGGAAAACATCTTCGAAATGGAAAGCGTTGCATGTTATTACATCCTGAGACACGAATTATTTGGATGCTGATCGATGGGGACAAGTAATCGTGCAACAATATTGCCGCACTTACGCAGATTTGGCTTTGAATTTTTACGACTCTTTTGAAACGAATGATGACTTTAACTTATATCGAACGACGATGAAACTTTGAACTTCAAGTTGATCATATCAGACTGATTTTTTTAATCCATGCGAACAGGTATATACGAAAAATAATCCGTTGCATTAATACAACTTCATTGTTTTCTTTCGATACTAACCAACAATTCTTCCAAAGAATACTATCGCCACTACCTTTTTTCCTCAACTAAATCCATTATTTGTTGAATTATGTTCCTCTGTTCGATATATGGAGATCAAACTCGAAAATTGTACCAACCTAAATGATCTTGTGAAATTTATCTTGATAAAACGTGTTAGTTACATTCATCATCTCCGTTCATTATGTCTACTTGTCAATCGATCAGATGATACAATGGTTAAGAAATTGTTACCAACGATGATTCATGCTGAGCAACTTGCTGATGACTATACAATTAAACAACTATGCATGAAATCTATTTGCGGTTTGATTAGAATGGATATTTTAATTCTTTTTAAATAAATATTGTTTGAAGGTATTCCCTCACTCTTTGAAACTTTGTCCATGTCACAAAATTGATAAACGTAAACTGCATAGCGTAGATCGTGCGTACTTTTAACTTGATGAATAGCGACCACTTTCGAGTTATCTGACTGCTCGTTTCAAATCGACTTCTTTCAATCTCTTGCTCTTATCATTTAGAGAAAGATAACAAAAGTGAAAAAATGAGTTTATAGATATGGTGTTTACCATTTTTACAAACGAAATGCAACTGTCACCCGTTCTCTATGCTGGAGTTCTTGTCTTGACCATTGTCATCGCTTCTCCAATCACTTATGATCAAGTCCGAGGCGTTCCCTACAGTGTCTCGTACGATCATCGAGCAGTCACTATCAACGGAAATCGCACCCTGCTCATTGCGGGTGCAATTCATTATCCACGATCGACACCGGGTATGTGGCCTTACATAATGTCGATGGCTAAACAGAACGGTCTCAATACAGTGCAAACCTACGTATTTTGGAATATACATGAACAACAACGCGGTACGTACGATTTTAGCGGTCGCGCCAATTTAAGCGGATTTCTCCAAGAAGCGGCCAGTGCAGGATTATTCGTTAACTTACGAATCGGCCCGTATGTATGTGCCGAATGGGATTACGGCGCTCTACCCGCTTGGCTCAACAATATTCCCAACATTAAGTTTCGTTCAAACAACGAACCATGGAAGAATGAAATGAAACGCTTTGTATCGGACATCATCTCCTATGTCGAGCCGTTTCTCGCTAAGAATGGTGGCCCGATTATTCTTGCTCAGATCGAAAATGAATATAATGGAGACGACATGGCTTATGTTGACTGGTGTGGTAGTTTGGTGTCGAACGATTTCGCATCGACACAAATTCCGTGGATCATGTGCAACGGTCATTCGGCTAATTCGACCATTGAAACATGCAATGGATGCGATTGTTTTGATGGAAATTGGATGGATGAACATCGCCAAAAGTATCCCAGTCAACCGTTAATGTTTACTGAAGATTGGGGATGGTTTCAGCCGTGGGGCGAAGCATTAGGTGTTCGAAAAACTGAAGATCTTGCCTATACGGTCGCTGGATGGTTTGCTGCCGGTGGTGCCTATCATGCGCACTACATGTGGCACGGCGGTAATCATTATGGACGGACGGGTGGATCAGGTTTGACGACATCGTATTCCGACGATGTTGTCCTTCGTGCTGATGGTACGCCGAACGAACCGAAGTATACCCATATAGGTCGCCTTCAAAATCTTCTTGCTGATCGAGCTGAAGCAATATTAAGTCAAGACTCGACTCGATCGCCGCTGCCCTACTGGAATGGAGAAAAATGGACAGTGGGTACTCAACAATTCTCCTACTCGTACGCTTCATCCATACATTTTGTTGTCAATCAAGCCAGAATTCAACTCTTTGTCCTTTTCAACAATCAGAATATTTCGATGCCGGCTCAATCCATTCAAATCTACGACCACAGTCAAACTCTACTGTGGAACAGTGCCAATGTTAGTGATATTAATACTAACAATACTGTCCTTGTACCCATTGTCAGGAGTCCACTCGATTGGCAATTCTATTCGGAACCGTCGGTGTCTGATTTGCCTGTGATCACGGCTTCGAAACCGTTGGAACAACTTAACTTGACCAATGATGAAACCATCTATTTGTGGTATCGCTGTAATGTTTCTCTTGTTCAACCATCTGCACATACAGTTGTCAAAGTGCAAACGCGCAAAGCAAATAGTTTGCTCTTCTTCTTCGGTGGACAATTCCTGGGCATCTTTAACAACGATGAACATGCACAAGGCACAATTACAGCTAGTGTTACACTTGATCTTTCGCAATTTCGTCCCAATCAACAGTATCTCTTCGAGATTCTCTCAGTTTCGCTTGGAATCGATAATTTTAACATCGGACCAGACTCTTTTGAATACAAAGGTATTGTAGGAGATGTGTCGCTAGATGGACAATCATTGATTGGTAAAGTGTGGGAGCATCAAAAAGGTTTATTTGGTGAAGCACGTCAGATTTATACCGAACAAGGTTCAAAATCAGTCGAATGGAATCCTAAATGGACGACGGCTATCAACAAGTCGATCACTTGGTTTCAAACTCATTTCGATCTCGATCATCTGGCACGAGCAGATCTCAATGCTAATCCTGTCTTGCTCGATGCACTTGGCCTCAATCGTGGTCATGCATTTATTAACGGAAACGATCTTGGTCTCTACTGGTTGATTCAAGGTAGCTGTTCGAATGTACCGTGCTGCTGTCTTCAAGCTCAAATTCATTGCTGGGAACCATCGCAACGCTACTACCATATTCCATCCGATTGGTTGATGCGTAAGAATAATCTGCTCACAGTATTCGATGACATAGGCGCACCATCACCTGGATTCGTTGGTCTTGTGCAGAGGATCGTTGTTACTTAGTTTATAATCCTATACACTTTTTTTTATCCTTTTGTATGAATAAACGAAGAATATTTAGATTGGGAGTTAGCTAGAAGTGAAAGATTGAATCAATTGATAACTGATAATGGTTGGATAGATCTGACAGGAATAGTATATGGAATTATTTGATTTGGTTTTTCTAGCGTGTATGGTGTTTAAACTACTTGGATTTATTTTCGAAGAATGTCCGGTATGATGAAAAATAAGTCCATAAAGAATCAATATTGTGTTCAACGTTAAAATAGGAACAAGAATTGAACTTAAAAGTGATGTTAGAAAATGTTTTGTTGTTAAAGTACAACGTTGAGATTCAGACTCCTATTGGTATAAGATAATGGTGAAATAAACATTCCAACCGATGAGAATCATAAGAAAATTCGTTCGATATGTTAGAAGAATGTTATGCTTAGTTAATATTGTTTCACAAAAATATGCGTTCGTATTATTGTTATTGAAAGAAATACGTTGAGTAATAAATGATTTTTGAATGACAATCGCTTAGACATGAAAGGTAATGCGAAGCGTGAATTATAGGTGAAAAGATTGGAAATTGACCGATTTTTCACTGCGATCGTAGCATATTATTATAGTAATGACTGTTAAATCGAATAAGATTGTAGTGAATCAACATGTTACAAATAAAATATTGACTATTTCATCAAACAATAACTGCGACATTCTCGTTTTGATCTTATTTTGGAATATTTTGACAGGAAGTGTATTCCAGTGCTTATGTGACAAGACATCATTATCATGAAGTTCTTTCATGAGCACACAATTTATAAATAGATGTCATTCCCTTATCTGATAGACAGGACGACAGGAAACAATTGTCCTCTTTATTAAAACAACCCAATCGTTAGAAATTGCTGGACGATGTGAATAAAATCGCCATATCAGTTAACTGTTGTAAGCCGCCGCAGTCGGTATAGGGTCATCGGCTTACAGCTCTAGATGTGAGAACACTTCAAATCTTTTCGATCGAAAAACGGCCTGTGATGGATCTGAAGAAAAATTCGTGACAAAACGTCGAGATCAAAGGAACACAAGTTTCGCTAAATATCACATTAAACCGGGAGCTCCGTTCACAAGATACATAAAGATCCAATCATCGACGAAATTGTTCAAGTTTCATTCAGACCGAGTATATCTATTTATTTCATTATTGACACATTCTCGTAACTCGTTAAAATCAATAGGCACATATATGGTTATCGTAGTACTTGCTACTGCTGTCAGTATTGGATTATCCTATACACTTTCTTTTATGAAACAATCTTTTACACCATAATCAAGTTTTTCAAGCTTTTCACTAAGCTGTTAAACCAAGTAAGATAAAGTCACTATCATTACTAACTAACATGCCACTGGTTTTATTGAAAACGTTGACGATGTTTAAAATCTATTATTTTATGTACTTCTTCGCCCACGTCTTCATTCGTTTTTTCAACATACATACGTATGTATGTGGTAAACGGTTTATTTTTATTTTCTTTTAGCTTAGTAATCAGAAAAATAACTGTCGCGAAGAAAAGAAAAAGCTACAGACATGGCTGCCGTTTCGAAGAATTATAAAATGCCTCACAACCGCACATGGTTTTTTTCTTTTCTTTGAAAAACTTCCAACTTCATCTACTCAATGTGTGAATGCGTAACGGTGATGAAATTGCTTAGAAACTTTGTAAACATGATGGCATCAAACAATCAATCTCAGTAATGTCGTCTAGGTGCATCAATTTCGATGAACCGATCAACACTGAATTTGGTATTGATCATTACAAAAGCTTTCCGCTTGTGTCTCTCCAAGATGCGTTGAAATATAATTTGAAAAATGTGAAAAATCTGGAAGCTGCGTTGACAACTGCGAAACAAAAATGTGTGAAATCTTCAGGTGGTCTAACGGAAGATGAATCGGCTGCTCTCTATATATATACAATGGAAATATCTCCTGCAACAGTTTATGCAATAATTAATGATCTTCTACGTGATAACGATGCTATGAATGCCCAACCGTGGTTTTCTTATTTGAAGTTACTATCAACGGCTGTGTCAAAGTTACCGACATACAGCGGGAATGTATGGCGTGGTGTACGCGGAAATGTAGCGAAAAATTACAAGAAGGGAATGCCCGTTTGTTGGTGGGCGTTTACTTCGTGTACGACTTCTCTCAGTGTCATCAAAGAGTTCTTACCGATGAAAGGTCAAGGAACAATCTTTATGATTGAATGTGTTAGCGGAAGACTTATATCGAACTATTCAGAATACGAGAGTGAAGATGAAGTTCTCCTCATGCCTGGTATTCGTTTTATAGTGACGGACACTTTGCCCTATAATGATATGAACATGGTGCACTTAAAGGAAGTGAATTCAAATGATGAATTAAAAAAACCTATGTCAGCAAAGCCACTATTTACTGCACAACAACAATCGTTAGAAATAAAGTTCAAAACATCTGCACAAATCTCACCAAAGCATTTGCCGTCAGCTAGTTCTACTACAAAAATGACCAAAGCTCATCCCAAACTAAAAAATAGTCTTCCACTAGCACCGCCTGCTGCACTTCCTAACGACTCAAAGAATAAAAAGGCCAGTTCAGGTAAAAATGAGCTTTGTATAGTAATCATGGAGAAAGGAGAAAATATGTGCTGCTTCACTGTATTCGACATGAGTATTGTTTATTTATATTTAGAAACGGAGAAAATTGTTCATTGTCCTAATTGCACGAAATCAATCACATTCAAAACACCGTATCATCCCGGTTGTCGAATTCGGTGCTCTGCTTGTCAGCAAGCTTTCAATGAAGTACCCTGTCCACAGTGTCGTACCTCAAACTATTGGAAAGAGGCCGACTACCATGCGTGTGCCCTCACCACATGCAGAACATGTTCATCGGAATTCCAACATCTTAAATGTCCTCATTGTGAGCACGCCTGTTTTTGGCGAAACAAAGTGTACATTCAAGGAACAAAGACCAGGTGTTCATCTTGCAGTGGTGTATATAGAGCTGTTGGCTGTCCACATTGTGGAAAAGTTCACTATTTCAAGGACGATGAATACCAAGCTGGCAAACGTTATCGTTGTGGGTCATGTAACAATTCGTACCAAGCATTTAATTGTCCACATTGTTCGCAGCTGAACGTTTGGCTCGGTGAAGATCGGACTCAAGGTATTACCGAAACATGTTGGAGTTGCAAAGGCACCTATCAACTTATTAATTGTCCTCACTGTTTTAAACCAAGAGTATGGGAGAAAGCTGATCGACATCCAGGTAAGCAATCTACTTGCACTGGATGTGAACAAACTTATCGACAAGTGAACTGTCCGAACTGTTTGAAATCACATATGTGGAAAGATAATAATTTTGCTTCGGGAGGTCGAACGACTTGTTCGAATTGTCAGACGACTTCGCAACATGTGAATTGTCCACACTGTCTAGCTGAAAATGTTTGGATAGGCGGTACCTACAAATATCGACAACGTGTAACTTGTATATCATGCAAGAATGACTTTCAACACAGTGTATGCCCGAGCTGTAAAAAGTCTGCATATTCCAAAAATTGTACTTGGAAACCGAATAGTCGTACTAATTGTAATGAATGTGATGTGGAGTTATACTGATTAAATTGCTGAAAAGACTGTTTTTTTGTTAGTAATATTAACTCGCTAAGTTACTTATTTTTTAATAAATAAATAAGCTTAACGCAGTCAAATCCATCTTGAGAGTATTTATCCGACTAAGTGCTACTGAAGGCGCGGTATAAGAATGGAAATAACTAAATTCGCCCCAAGATGTTTCTTCTTCTCTACGATTGTGTGATCATCTAATATTTCACACCGAGAGGTAAAACGCTCGATTGCAATATAGTTTCTACAAGTAATTCGAGCTTACTTCAACAATGAACACGTTGTGCACACATCAGATGCAAAAAAACTATGTAAAGTTTTTCCATAAATATAAATGCATCGTATCGTGTCGGTAGAAACACTAAAGAAAATGATGCAACAAGATCGAGCAACACAAACCGATGTGCGACGTCGATCTCGCAAATTCTTCGGCTTAACAGTGAAAGACATTCTCACACTGACTACTTCGCTGATCGTTCCTCTTCTACTCGGCGTTTCCACTATAATAACTACGAGTAATTACCAGAAAGAAGCGATTCGGCAAAGCAAAAGAGATTCATCTCTTCGCGAACAAGAATGGCAAATCGAAAATAGTCGAAATGAACGTCAATGGAACATCGCCAACAAACAAAATCAATTCCAACAGTATATCGCACATGAAAAATACCGAGATGAAATGCTCATATCTTACATAAAAGAAACCGGTGATCTATTAAATGAAAACAATGGTTCACTCACATCAAATCCAATCATAGCCAGTATTGTTCGTTCAAAAACACTGAATACTATTCGTCAACTAGATCCATTACGCATTTCGTATGCTATTCGTTTTCTCATTGAATCTGGCCAACTGACAGTAACAAACGAAACCAAAGCATTGAACATTTCAACGGTGGAACTATTCAACATCAGCAAAGACATTTTCCAAACTTTACCTACAGTTGGAAAGTTATCTTTGTCAGGCATTTATTTACATAACTGTACTCTTAACGACACTTTCTTACATAACATCGACTTCTCGTTTGTACAACTCGATTATATCAACTTTTCTGCTAATGAATTTCGCAATAGTGTCATATCATCTGCTAAACTGAACAATATCGATTTTAGTTTTGGAAAATTCAAAAATGTCGACTTTTCATCGAGTCAGTTGGAAGAAGTGAACTTTTCCTCGACTCATTTCGAACATGCTCACCAATCGTGCAATCGATTCGGTAATATTAAAAATCTGTTCGCACATTCCGTCGATATTAATTTTGCAAGTACCACGTTGAAATATGTCGATTTTTCCTTCTCAAGATTACAATATGTTAATTTTCAGTCGGCGAACTTGAATAATGTGCGTTTTACATCGGCTCGTATCGAGAACACTATTTTTCAGTTTAGTACTCTTTACAACGTTGATTTTTCGTTCACAACCCTCAGCCATATCGATTTTTCACATACGTATCTTGAGAACGTGAACTTTTCATTTGCCAAACTCGACAATGTTGACTTTGAATCTGCTCAGTTGATGAATGTCGACTTTTCTTCAGCCATCCTTCGCAATGTGAATTTTTCCGACGCTGTTTTATTTGGTGTTCAATTTTCATTCGCTGTATTAGGTAACTTGCACTACAAACGTTGATCTCTCTTATAAATTTCGCTTTTCTTTCATTGCTTAGTTTTGGTCAACTTCGAAGATACAATCATGCCAAGTAGCAGTTTCATGCAAACACGTCGTATGGATGTGAACTTTGATAGAGCCGACTTAGTGGAATCAATATTTTGTCATGCCAACGCGAGAGCTGCTCGATTTTACTCGAGTGATTTAACTAGAGTTAATTTCACGTCTGCAAATTTGCAAAGAGCAAAGTTTATCAATACAACCATTATGGAGAATCAATTGAAAAGCACTCTTTCAATTCACGATGCTCAACTGCCCGATGGAACGCTTGGACGTGATTCAAATCTGATTATGAATGGCGACGCAAACTGTAATAGTCCCATTTCCCAAAATTGGCAACTGAAAGTTGGTAATATTATGGTGATGATGTCAGACCAAGCCAAAAATAACTGCTATTTTGGATTAGAATCCTACTCTATCGGAGCGGTGATAGCACAGAGTATCAATTTATCGAGCGTTTGGGATTCTCACATGTGGTCTCATTCTCAAGCTGTGCTGAATGCAAAAATGGGCAAAGGAGTTTCAATTCAATTGAATGGGATTGACAGCAACGGAAAACTGATTGATCAGCGTAATTTAAGTAAGTTCAAAGTATAAGAACGATCATTGTGTTTAACTTTCTATACTTGTAAATAGACTTGTCCGGCAACAACCTCATCATAAGATTGCAAGAAGCAATGCAAACGTTGGAGATTGTGGTTCAATTTCATATAGTTTCCAACAGAACACATCTCAATAGAAGCTGGTGCGATGATATTCAGTTATTTATTGATTATGATACACAATCATGGTCTTCACAAAGTAGATTTCTATTTGATTTTTCTTTAACAAATCCTATTGATGATGATCTACCGTAGCACTACCTCTCCGTGCCAGTTCAAATGATATTCCTACGGATGCCAAATGGAATCAGGATGGTCTTACTGTCGCTGGGGGATTGGGACAGGGCAATGAAAGTGATCAACTTTTCAATCCAGCTGGTCTGTATGTTGATGATGATGATACAATTTATATCGCTGATGAGAAAAATCATCGTATTATGAAATGGAAATGCAATGGAACAACTGGTCAAGTGGTAGCCGGCGGGAACGGACCCGGAAATGGAGCTGATCAATTGAATAGTCCTAACGATGTTATCGTCGACAAAGAAAGAAACTGTCTTATTATTTGCGATGGAAAGAATAGAAGAGTTATCAGATGGCCTCTTCGAAACAGTGGAAATGCCAGTGGAGAAACACTCATTTCAAACATTAGCTGCTGGGGTTTGACAATGGATTATGATGGAAATCTTTATGTCGTTGAAAACGAAAAACACAAAGTGATACGGTATCGAATTGAGAATGGTAGTGAGGGAACAGTAGTTGCAGGTGAATACATTGAAGAAAATGATTACAATACACTCTCTTTCCCTGTCTTTATATTTATTGATGGAAATCGATCTATATACATATCTGATGAGGATAATCATCGTGTAGTGAGGTGGGAACATGGTGCAAAGGAAGGAACAGTTGTTGCTGGTGGGAACGGCAATGGAAATAGTCTCACACAGCTGTCTTACCCTCAGGGAGTGGTGGTTGATCACTTGGGCGCTGTTTATGTGGCCGATGATATGAATCATCGAGTAATGCGATGGACAAATGGAAGTCGACAAGGGAGTATTATTGCTGGTGGGCATGGTCGAGGAAAACAAATGAATCAATTAAATTATCCCAATGGTTTATCGTTCGATCGCCATGGTAATCTCTATGTTTCTGATATGTATAATCATCGAATACAGAAATTTTTACTTGAATAAATGAACAGTATTATTAAACTAACAAACAAGTAACTCTCATCGTTCGGATTTACCGAACTTTTTCTAAAAGAATTCTCCTGCTGCTGAACACATTCAGACGCGTTGATAAAAACACAAATAGAGCACTGCAATTGCTATTGCTCCTCAACTAGACCATGGCATTATCTCATGCGAGAATTACTATAAGACAGAGATTCTACTTTTTCATGGATCGAACCAAATATCCATTTTTTAGGCAATAGTTTTTAAATACTCGCTATGCTCAGCATTTTTACGTCCATAAAAACGACTTTTTAGATGACAGAATACAAGACCCGGGTCTTCTAATAAATCACCGGCTTTAATTTAGTTTCATTTTTTCACCATTTTTCATTTATTAATATTAATAAATCACGGTCGAAATAAATTGAGTTCTCACTCCAATAAACCTTATAGGTCTGAATATTGTTCATTTTGCCCGTGCTTCAAAAATCAATTGCAGCCAAGTCACTGGCTCTTCCGTATCTGAATCAAAACGATAGTAAGCATCATCAGCTGTTTTCCAATTAGTTTTCACACTAGAAGGTACTTCATTTTTGTTCAATTCAAGCTGTCCATGGTACTTCCACCGACATCGATTAAAAGCACACGTTATTGGATTGACATACTTTTGACATTGAGGGCATTTAGATAACGCTGCCTTTTGGAGATTCAGATCAAATTTCACGAGTCCGATATTGATAATCACCTGGTGATTATATGCTGTACAGTTTACATTTTGACAATAGCCTTCGAGACAGAGGCCGGGTCGTACAACTCTCCAGACGGGCGCTTTATCGCTCCATTCATATCTTTTTAGAAGATTATTGTTATGAACATTAACAAATCTTGATCCACCGAAACCGAATCCACCACCTTTAGTGCGCACAACTGCAAATAATGTTGTTTTTGGTGTGATCAATCGTTTCATTCCTTGAAATTCTTCTTCACTTTGCAAGTCAAACATTTTTCCATGACAGATAAATGAATACATCCAATACCTTTCTTTGTAAATATTTTTGATGATTCGTGTAAAATCAGTCAAAGTGCATGTTGGAGATAACTTATATTCAACTGGTTGTTGGTCATCTAGCTGAAATTGAACCGGTATTGATGACATCGTTGTAGAGAAAACTTTCAAATGAAAGCTTTTTGCGCAGCAACTATTAAAGCGACTGAATATGTAAAAACAATTTCTGTTTGCATTCTATGTGACTGTACACAATGGAAAAAAAAACTTTGCTTTTTATTGGTTTTCATTTTGCATTATGAAAACAGAAGAGAATATTTCTTCCAAGTAATGAGGGTGTGGGTGAGGTTGTGGGTGTGGGTGAGGGTCTGAGTGAAAGGTGTAGATGAGGGTTCACTGGGTTAAAAGGACTAAGGGGAGTAAAAGGAGTAAAGGATTTTAAGGGACTAAAGGGAGTAAAAAGAGTAAAGGGCGTAAAGGATTTTATAGATTAAATATAAAATACACCGGGATAAAACTAATTTTTCGTGGGCCCCTCACCCTTTTCATAGGTCAAAACTGTATTATTGATGGTCAAGGAATCGAATGTTTATATGAAGTTTCGTTGATAGCTACAATTCATTTTGTAAAACTACCATATATTGTATATTTCCACCTGATATTGACATCGAAAGAAAGATGTTCGGATAGGACCGATTTACTCATGAGTATAAAGATCTGTATGTCTTTTATGATGCTCTGAAAACAAGAGTGATGCATCGCTTCGTAAATTAGAAAGCCTTCTAGATCTTTTCAAACGTTTGTCTGTTACGACAATAATCGACTCACAGTTGTATTATGAGAAATTCAAAATCAGTTGCTTCAATCAATCGTCAAACTTATATTCACTGTAAATATATGTTCGTGAGCAAATCAGTAAGAACTTGAAACTTTTCACGTATTGACATTTTGAATAAATCAATATACAATATAGAGTTTTCGATTGCATCGTACTCTTCTTTGAGATAGTTATGTTCCATAGCAGTAACAGCTATCTGAAGTGAGTAGTGAAGTATCCATCGACGTGGAGCCATGAGTACATGTACCAGTAAGTGAGGTAATGTTCCATAACAAGAGACAACCATTCCATTGACAATCAAATTGCCTTCAGATGTTAATGGTGCATATGCATCGAACAATTTTATCCTTTTAATAGTATTAATTTGAGCTTCGCTGTAGGAGCCATTCTTCATCACGAAAAAGAGAATATCATTGACATTCACTTGAGAGGCAAATATATAACGTGATTGATTATAATGTCGTTTTTTGACAAGCAACGAATGATGTGGAGTGATGCGCAATGGTTCCATGGCAAGATTCGATTTTACAGAAATTTCCAAGTAGTCTATAGGAAAAATAGGATTGTACATTTGAAAAACATCCACAGCAAGAATGGGACTTGTTCGAACGATAACTTTGCCACAGGGCAGGTCTTGAGTTACTAATACATGATGACCTATTTTCAAATTGCGCATACGTATCCATGAACCATCTGCTCTAATTGCAAACGAATTTCCATCGAAGCATTCTATTAACAAAAAAACGCACTATTTCAGCATTCATAGTATTGATCTAGTTGGGATAATGATAAAGAAAATGGAACCACACGGAAGGTGAGAATTTGATACCAGGAGAATCCCTATACTGATAGTCATACGCGCCTATTTTCCTCGAGCATATGATTCGAACAAGGTAACGACTAAAAGTATCTTTAAATTTCATTAAAAAATATGAAAATATATTTGTTCATGTCTGAAAAACTTCTTTACTTTTAGGTGCTGTTGTCGTTGTTGTTGTTGTTGTGGTTGTGGTTGTTGTCATAGTTGTTATTGTTGATTCATCTTTATTTTTTCTGGTAAGGACGACAGATAAAGTCACCACAAGAATTATACAGATGGCTATGGCGACACATATCAATAAACAAACGATAAGTCGCTTCTTTGTTATACACGAACTTTCTAGACAACGATAATCATCTCCATGTTGAGGTGATTCGATCCTCGTTCTAGGTGGGTTCTCTGTTCGTGTTGTCTGGTTAATGGACGAGTATGGCGGTGGCGGCGTTTGCTGACGAATTGGTGGACGGACTGCTAAGCAGAATCAGTAAAAATTAGCCTACTCCCAAAAAATCTTGGGAACGTTAGCGTGATCAAAGAATAGAAACCCTCATACCCCTTTAATAGCTTAATATTATAATGCAATTATCAGTCAAAATAAGTGGATAAAACTTAAGCCAGTTTGACCTATGGCAAGAGAGTCTTTTTTGGTACAAAATATTTGCACAGTTTTTAGCCGCTTAGTATTAGCTAGTAGAAGTCCAAACAAACTAGTTAGAATCAATGTTTTACGCTCTTTCAGAATATATCTCGAATATTTTGTTCCAACGAGAGTTTAACGAAATACGGAATCACTCCGTTTAAAGGTCTGAAAAAGCGCTTTCGACAATGGAAAAATAGAGATTTTCAACAACTCTTCGCAACTTTGACTCTAACAGTAAAATACTGAAAGTTGATCAAAAACACTCTTTTGTGGAAACATCCGAAATATCGTGTTTTTGGACAACTGACTTTTCAAGAACAATTTGCTATGACTCTACAGTTCACCAAAACAAATGTAAAGATGGTGCATTTGATAGACAACTGAACGCTTCGCAAAATCAACCAATTAAAAGAAATTTTCAGTTTCATCTTAGGTTGAAATATTGTACAAGCTGGAATAGAACTTTGTCCAAAGATCGTTGTCAGTGTCTTAGAAAGCGGGGTCTATTTAATGAAAATCTCATTGTAACAAAATGTTCAACATGAATTTTGAAAAGTGTCAAATTCTGATCCTAAGGAATTTGTTTAGTGCCCTACTAGTTGTTTGTAAGTTTTTGTACCTAGATTTTCTGACGTCAGATACTTTTCGACTGAATTCGACTTTTTCTCAAATCGATCCATTTCAGCGTAGGTTTCAATCAGAAAACTTTTCACCTACACGCTCACCCAATGAAAGAATAGAGTTTTATGAGCATATACTCACCTTCACTCTCATTCGCGTTAATATTCCCTTCTCCATCATGAAGATAGATAGTTGAACTATTCAGCGAACTTTCTCGATGCACACGTAATTCTCCACCACTATCTTTTTGTACTCCTGCACACACATCATCCAGCATATTTTCCACGTGTAAGTTTGGTCTAGTGATGTTTGCAAGTAAATGAAGAGTGAAGAGACTATTACGTCTATTTGGAGATCGATCAAATGTTTTCTGACCACGGTCACAAGGATAAGCAATAAGCGAACCGTTTCTGTTTCTCGTAAGGTAACCGTGCGCTAAGGGTGAGTTAGGCACAATACGGTACGCCCTTCCGTTGTTTGTATCTTGGCTAGAAACATTATTCCGACAACAATCTAAGAAACAAATGACAGAGCGTTGTGTTTGAGCAAGCATAGACGCTACTGTTCTCTGTACGGAAATAGCAGATTCTTCATAGAATTCAGGACTGTTCAATATTTCTATGCTGTCAATTGGAATGAGATAAGTGTAGCCTTGATGTTGCACACCGTGCCCAGAAAAGTAGAAAACAACTAGATCGTCGTTTGTAATTTTGTTTGTAAATATCTTTATTTCGTTGTGCATCTCTTCTGCTGACAGATTACGCTTCAACGTTGTTCGGAAGCCGATTTCCTTCAATTTATTAGAAACGTCTCGTGCATCGTTTTCGGAGCACAGGAGTTCAGCTCCATTTTGGTATTTGTTATTGCCAATAATCAATGCACGACGAACCATTGACAAATGTTCAAATGAAACACTATTTAAGTGGACAGAATCTAAACTAAGATAATAGATTTCCAGTGATCATAGATATAATTAAAAGTAGATTAAGTTCCATTTTCAAAGTGGTTTTGTATAAAAATCTTCAAAAGTCTGCAATGAACAGTTTTAGAAACCGGTTCGCACAGAGTTCAGATGGATGATAGATACGTTTTGCATTGTAATTCAATACACGCTTCGAGCGATAGTTTAAAGTCGGAAAAAGATTGTAATGTGTACGATAGGTAACTAAAAGAAGTGAACTTAAGGAGGAAAAACTCATCAATGACTATTTCAATCCCCAGAGATTGACTATCAGGGAGACATACAAAAGAGCATTTTTTCGTAACTCAATGTTTCAAAAAAATCAAATTTTCATTCTTGGGAAAGTTCCGATTTTTACACCAATCAGTCACATTCTGAAAAATACAGGTTTGAGCATATTTGAAAGATATCAACGGCGAGGACTAATACTGCAATTTTCGCACTTGTCGACTATAGATAGCTTAAAAATCCGTGGGATATCTTCGGACAAGATTCGACCCTTTCTTGAGCCGATTCATTTCTACGCGCGTTCCTATTGTATTCACGGTTCCAAAAGTAAAATTTCCACCCACATCTTCACCCTGAGCGTCAAACATCGTAGTCGTTTAGCTTACTTTTCACTATGATTTTAGTTCAACTAATTTTTGTAATATAAATGACAGAGTGTAGAGAAATTTCAGAATTTCTGATCTCCGTATAAAAGAAAGTTCTTAAGAGAAAGATTTTTTTTCATGATTCTTTCCAAATATAACTCAAACTAAAAGATTTGTTTTCTTCTCATAATGCCTTTCAAATCCAATTCAAACTAAAACATTTTTTTTCCAACTTAACATAAACATCTTACGAGCTGACGGCGAGAGTGTAGAAGAAAGAAAAAACCGACATCGGAACTCTCACATTCCGATATATATCAATAATTTCTTGTCTAAGAATTCTATACGATTATAATATTGAGATGCGCGTGAAATACTATAATAGAAAACCAACAGGATATTATAAAGGATGTCCAGTCATTTAGAATCGAATCGATCGATTAACTTCCATTTTCAGTTATTTCATTCTTAAAATTTTAAAATGTTGAGGATGTTAAAAGTAGAGCTTAGTGTGCTGTATCAGAGCGCCGCACAGGTTCATTTCTGATCTATTCGAAGCGATTACACTGTTTCTTCCAGCTAGAGTCCGACAAACTCCATCAGCCCCAGTCATAAAATTTTTCACTTCACGCCCTCAGTCAAACCTTGAGCAAACAATCATCATGGCGTACGTTTGTTTAGGAAAGAAAGCTTTTTATGATGAAATTTCCAACTTTATACGAACAAATCCGTACAGGAATTCAACACTTCCTGTGCTCCGTTTTATTGTCATTGATATCTTTTGTTCGATAGACAATAACATCATTGTCGCTCTGTAAACACATTTTCCCCGACGAAATTCTATGCAAAACTACTTACCCAGAAAAGAAATTAAACAGGAAAAAAATTTTATTTAAAATAAAAGCAAAATTAACGCATGACATTCTTTTTAGAGGACAAAGCAAATTTTGTTTTGATTATTGCGTTCATAATTTCACTTAGACAGAACGAAGGATTGTTCAGTTTGTTCAACAATATTGTTCATCATCTTGTTAAATTCATGAATATTGATTTTATATTCTAAAATCGAAAGTATATCTAATAAGATTTTAATTAATGAACTATAACGAATAACAGACTCTTGAAAACTATATTGATAAGTTAAATATTTCCATAACAATGATGCACAAATGTCTTGAACTGATGTTAATCTTTTTAAATTCGACGAATCCGATGAATTTTCTAATGCATTATAATTAACAATCGAATAATTACTTGAAAATGCAATGATATATAACATTATTTTAACATATAATCCATTTGGATCTAATCTTTGACTCATTGCAGCAGTTCTTTTGAGAGTACTTTCATTATATAATTCAATATATGATATTTGAAAATCTTCATTATTCCACAAATCGGCTTGACGAGTAAGATAAAGTGCTTTCAGTGAACTTGTTGCATAAATATTATGATGAACGAGATATTTTTGTGCATCAAGTGGAAGTGAATAGAAATAAGGTGATTTTTTAAATGGAACTTCCATGGATGAAAAACAATGATGAAGACATTTCAATGCAAATGATTGTTTTACTCGTAATTTAATGGGAAGTGACGAACCTTGAGTAAGTGATGATTGTATGGCATGAAGAGTAATATCTTCATTAAATATATGATGAATATTTGAAAGAAGAGTCCATTGATCAGTTGTTAAATTTGAACGATCAGTATCAAGAAGATCAAGTTGTTGAGGCTTAAATTCAAATTTGAAATTTAAATTTCATTTCTGTTTTCTTTTACTTTGGATAGTTGATATTGATTATATGAACGGGCTAATTCAACTTTCATTCCCAATATAAAACATTTCTTTAACCGACATGCAGTACATTTTACTTGTTTTGCCTTTATTTGACAATGAAAATCATTTGGACGATTCTACTGAATAATGTCGAAAGTAAAAATATCGAATTTAAAAAGATCGAAAATGAAAAATAGCGAATACGCAAATTATACAAACATCGAAAGATGAACAAGGTGCGAATGATTTAGTTTGAGAAAGGCATTGTTCTTCACCCTCACCCTCAATCTTACACATCTATCTGCAATCTCATTTTTGGTTTCGACGGTTTGATTTTCGATATTTTTGCTTTCGACATTTTAACATTTCGATCAATTTCAGGTTAACCAATTATATGTTGCTATATGAAACGTTCTTTTTCTTACTTTTGCTATATCATTTTTCTATTGATGTTCTCTAGATGAGAATTTGAGAAGCATTTTATATGTTCTCATCACTCGGATAAAAATACATCCTATGCCGTTCTCATTCTCAATCATATATATTTAATCTAATGTTATATTAAGGTGGTTTCAACTAGTAAAGAAAAGCCATACAGATTGTAATATTCTTGTAGAAAGCCTTGTATCGATCAATAATGAGTAAAAAAAGTATTGATATTACTTAGGGTAATCCAAAAATAGTGAGGGAAATACCTTATTTCTTCAAGTAGCTGTGTAAAAAAAAAGTTGCTTTTTCACCAAAAGATGGAACACTGTGATCTTCGCCGTTGCAGAAGATTTGTTAGAATATCGCAGTATAAGTTCCTCAATAATAGGTATTATTCATAAATAGTTGAATTTAAGTAACTGAGTCTTTTGCAACCTGGCGATATCCAATTAGCCGTTGGAATTTGAACACGATTATTGAAAATTTATTGTAAATAAGTCATGGAATAGATTTCCTGTTTACAAGGTCAGTTAAAATCTTATAAAAATCATGTTAAACAGAATGATAGTATATACGGTTCCATGCGTCTTCATTTCCTCGTTTCAACGGTGAAAATCGCACTTCTTCTTCTTGCTTCTATCGAAAATGATTTTATTATGATGATACCAGTTTAATAGTGATAGAATAGCATGGAAAGATAGAGCAAAACACGCTCGATCTATTGCTTAAAAAAGGAAACTCCTTTTATATATGTGATTAAAAAAAAAAAGTACCTCCCTCACTACTTTTGGATTGTCCTAAGTAAACGTAATTTTGCATCTTTAATGGTTTCCCTGCTGCAGCGATTTCAGATTCAAGAAATGTTTATTAGGCGTAGTTTGTATTAATAAAGAAACTTACTCTCAATACTAATTTCTGTAATATCCCAACAAAATCGAGGCAAGGTATCAAAATATTGCTTCATTTCGCTCTCTGATGAACACGTCTATTTGTATGCATCTTTCCTTCACTCTTATAGTATATACGTGTGTGTGCGGTCCGCTTCCATCATTTTGTTGTTGTTTATGTTCTCAAATCTACAGAGGGCGGAAGCGAAAAAGTGAAAACCGTTTGCTTGTTTATTTGTGCCAGGGTCAAAAAGCCATCTTTTGAAAAAATGCTCAAAACTTCATAGGACATCGTTTCCGACGGATTTTGTGTCAAGTGTCAAGGAGAAGATAAAAAACGATTCACTGGCATCTAGGATTCTCATTGGTGCTTCTGTATGCGGAAAATATGATTCCTTATCTTTCAAACTCATATATTTTGCTTTGTAAATACAATGTAGTTATATAAAAAAATTATTGATAATCATGAAAAATATCACTCGGTCTATGTGAACCATCGGTTGAATGATCGCCATGTACATAACGGACTAACTGATTTTCAACAAGATCTCTATATTGATAAGAAAGAAAAAGATCGATTCTTTGACAAGTTGGCATTTGATATCGAATGTATTGAATACCTTGATTTCTACCATAAAAATGCCGAACACAATAGCTAAGTCTACCTTCAAGATGTAAAGAGAAATTTTTAATGCAAGAAAAATAAACGAAAGATCTAACATATCTTTCAGAAAATAGAATTTAAAATATAAGAATGCATAATCATGTAAGACTTTCTTATAAGATTAATAAGTCTTATTACAAATATCCATCAATGATTAAGATAATTTAAAAATTTCAATTTCATTCGTTTGAAAGTATTGTGAACCAGTAAAAGTATTTACTCCAAGATCAAGTGAATTAGCATAACTAACACCCAGATTACAATAACTATAACGATATGTATCACTTTGATTAGTGATATATAAGTCCGCTCCTCCACCAAATATCGGTCCATATGAATTGAAATTGTACAATGCTTTTCCATCATTCTTATAAGGAAATTTTGTCGGTTGATTTCCATTTGCATTGGTTAATAGGAAAAGAAATGACTCTGGAGCATCGACAAAACTTGAAGAAGATTGCCAACTCTCGGAAGCGTAACCACCAAATAGACAGTTATTTGTCGACTGGATAAGTGTTAGTGTTGGTCCTTGATTATTACAAAGACGATGAAATGACATTGCATCAAATCCATCTCTTGTAGCTTTGTAAATTAATTGCCAATATTGATCACATTTACCGTAAAATTTGTTTAAGATTATTTTTTGTTCATGAGTCATAAGAGTATCTCCTTGAAAATTCTCGAACGATGTTGTCATATCTTTTTCTTTGTTTATACGGATGTCAGCAGCAAGTTAAACTATGAAAATAAAAATATTTATATGAATACAATGAATCAACATGCAAGATGGTTACATAAGAAGAAGAAAAAAAGGACTACAAGGTCTTGCAAAGCTGTTGCGCAATACACCTGTATGATGAGTTGATTTACTATTCACACCTAGACCGATAGCAGATTGACTAAGAGCTTCGGTGATATGGATCAATTGATCGTGTCTCATATCATTTATGTTTGTTGACACAAGACAAAATCGTTTCGATCGATAAGAAATGTTATCGAGAGTCAGCAACGAATGTCCAGATTCTTTGAAAAGCAAAACTGGGTGGAATCAGGCGCAGTCACTTCAAACAGGTGCTCATTTTACGCGGTCAATTCATTAAAGAAATTCTGGTAATTTGCTTAGAGTTTCACTTTCCGGATTCCGTGACGAAATGTAGTTTTCCCGTTTTTACCTGCATGAAAAGACAAAATTCATCTCTTCGTGACAAAATCAATAACAAATGTTTTTCTTTTTGTCGTAACTAATATTTTGTAACCTTTAATACTCGTCTCCACTATCTGGTGGCTTTGATGAATGCCTAACGTTTATCCACAAATGTACACATACTCTCAGCTCAACATTGTCCTCAAGATCCCAATGACGTTTCGTTTGATCGGCATGGTAATTTCTATGTTTCTGACATGTATAATCATCGAATACAGAAATTTTTAATTGAATAAATGAACAACCAGGATGTGAAAACAAAACGCTCTTCGCCTTATGTTTTGATCGGTTGGAAACGACCCAAGAACAACTTTTATTATTAAACTTAACATTGATAACAAATAAAAATTAGATATTTGTAAATCAACAATTGTCCATCACGATTGAGCTGTGAGGAAATCGATAAGATGTTCTTGGTCCGATCGTACAAATGTATCAAATTTTGATATTACTTTATTAAATTTTGATATACTTATTTCGGCGAATATCATTCTTAGTCAGTAGCTGTTGTAGTAAATCAATCCTGTTTGTGTCCAAGTATATTGCTAATAAAATTAATAAATTTGCTATAACTCATCTAGTAGGTGATCGTTTCTATGCTCAGTTTTGCGGCTTCTATTTCTTCCATTAGGATACGAATTGTTACGAATAAATTGTTAGGAGTCGTGTCATTAAAGTTGTTCTGCATGTAAGCTCTGAAATCATGATAAAGTAGTTGAAAGCTGATCTTCACCCACAACTTATCCTCTTCAAACTTTTAAACCCACATACGTGTACCATTATGATTGTTTTGAATACCATCTTCAGTTGGGTAATATATATGAAAATGAATTGTGTTAAGTAAAACTAATTGATTTCCAATAAGATCTCTGTGCTGATGAGAAAGAAAGAGGTCGATTTGTTGACAAGTTGGCATTTGATTTTGGACGAATTGAATGCATTGATTCCTGTTAGTAAAACGCCAAATACGATGACCAAGGTTACTTTCGATACGCGGATGTCGATTTTCAGTATCAAGTAGAGCAACAAGTAGATTATTCATGCAGAAGATTTAATATTCGTATCTAAAGCATCACCAAGAGTAAGTACATGACTCTACGGAGAAAGGGCAAGATTAAGAAAAGTATCAAATTAGTCTTTATTACCGATTAAAATAATTACAGCGAATGGATTGATATGAAGACAAAAATGAATGTCTATGTTTTCAAGCTTACTCGACTTTTTCAATTCAGATTTTCGACTTTCTCCTCAGCAAAATCCTTCAATCCATTCAAAATATCAATACATCGGTCATAGTTTTGTATTGCACTATTCTTGTTCTGTTTTCTAGCATAATCATCGCCAGATATTCGACTCTTCATTGCTATGTCAATTGATAGTCGTATAGCCAATTCTTCTGGATCATATTTGTCATAAAACAGATCGAGTGATATTTCGTGAAGAATTTTTCTTTCTCGGCTTGATCAGTTGGTTGTGATCCTAAAAGGATAAATCGCCGGAGGTTGATCAAGTAAACACAATTTCTCCAGCATTTTTTCATCGTGTTTAGTAGATAAAGACAACACGATGGCTGATGTACGGGACGCATTCAGCACTTGTCCATCATCGTGTGCATGCTCCACAATAGTAAGATTTTTATTGCAAAGGACGGGGGCGCATAAGAGCCATTTTTGGGCCATCCTTGGTTTGAGTCCGTTTATACTTTTTCCGATGTAGAATTGCACGAGGAGTCGATTGGTAACAAAATAAACCTATTTTGAATGAGTTTTGATAAGCTTCTGCCTCATATACTACTGTACGTTTTCTGTATCATAAATATACAATTTTCAAAAAAAGATTAGATATTCATATTTCTCCGGAATGATATATTTCGAAGTCAAAGCTATCTAAAAACACTAGTTATGTTATGATATATCTCTGATAACAATTTCAACCAGAACGGTCAACCCGTTGCTGAGTAACGCAGTAAAAATCGATTCAAATTGGAATCAATCTATATGTTTGTTTTTCACTTCTATTCAGTCTGTCTGCAATATCTCACGAAAGGAAAAAACCCACATGGGGTTTTGATTGATTCTGATAGCCTGAAGAAAGGGCTACAAAATGAGACTGTTTCTGAATTATTCAAAGGTGAACTTTAGAAAATCTTCCAATACGACTTTTCTTTAGTAGCCAAAAAAATACAAAAATTATACTATATTGGAGAATCCATCATGTTTTTTTCCATAATTGAGGATTTCAATCGTAGTAAAATTTCAAGAGGAATCTTTTAGCGATATAATGAAGACAATTAAAATATTTCGAGATTTACTTTTGGCTCAGATTATTGCCATATACTCCTTAAAAAATGATGAAAAATCAATAAATTATGCTTTTATACTCTTATAGGCGTTGTTCGAACAGAATAGGAATAGAAAGAAGAAACGTAAAAGAGGTGAACAGTTGTAAATTAGTTCAAACTTTGTAGTTTAAATTTAATTTTCTCGATACTGTACAACCTATATTGAAATTAATCTCATAGGATTAATAAAAAAATTAATCGTTGAAGTAAAGTGTTTACTATAAAGAAAGATTTTTATTTTGAATAGATCAAAAAAGCTATTCTTCTTCTGTTTGAGAATCGGAGTCTGAGAGTTCTTCGCTATCTGTACCTGTAGAGTGGTTGGACAAACTATATTTTATGTTATTATCATCATCGGAAGAATCATCATCATCAGTAAACACCATACTATCATCAATGACAGTTTTGAAATAAGATGCTGATAAACGATTGGAATTGTTAACTATTCCACGATTAACTCCAAGGTGCCACAACAATCCACACACATGAGAGCAACAGCCGACAACACGTAACCCAACTGTGCAAGTACAACACCAACCTTGGATAGGAACATCAGTAGCGGTATTATCGAATTGAATAGTAGAAATATAGAATTTTCGAGTACTGTGACCAGATTGAAATCTGGCCCGAACGAGATTATCGAAACCATCAGGTATTTCGACATAAAATATAAGTTCATTTGGATCGTAGTAGGCTGGTTTCAAATGATCCTCTATATACGATTTTGCCCGATGAATTTGATATGAACCTAAAACAATAGATTATTGAGATAAAAGAGAAACATATTTACTACCGAAAGTAATGTTTTCTACATCGTTTGGTGTAAGGGATGGAAATAAACAGAACACACCATCATGTTTTTTCCACTTGAGAAGTTTTTGGTTTTCAAGCTCATCTAAATGTTTCTGTAAGAGATTGTCCTTTTTCAGTTGTTGCAGCATTTTAGCGGCAATATCTTGATCTCCATGAACATTCAAAGTAGCTGGAGAACAATAGGAATTTATAATTACACATACATTAGAAAGATCCTCGCCAATGTGATTTATAGATGAATTAGGTATAACTTGACTAAAGTATCGCCACCTCTTAATCTTACTGTTTACTAAAGGAAAAACGATCAAGAATAAAAGTTTCAATCATAAAATGCATACCACTTTCCACTACCCAACGAGTTTTTGTAATACAACGAGTTTTATTTGCCTCTTCGGTAGTAAATTGTTTTCTTCCATTTAAAAAATCAGGCATTGCTGGCTGGAAAGCTAACATTTCCATTGATTTTATTGAATCTCTGAACTACAAAGATCAATAGAAAAATTAAAATAATAAGCTCTCTTTCCGAAAATCGATATGACTAATCAATGGATGAAAACTATATGGTATTATCTGTGTCAAATAATGAAGCGACAGAAGTCCCCAACGTATAAGTATTATCTTCTGTATAGCAATTCTTGAGAACTAGAACATCTCACAGATAAAAAGGCGCTATTGAATAGAACTTTATTGAGGCTATTTGCTCCTTTTTCGTAAGGTAACTTCTATGCTAACATTACTTAACTTTCATGTTATACATTCTGCAAATGGATAAATAAATATAGAAAATACAGCGAAATTCTCAGTGAATATATGAATCATTTCTGAAAAAGTATCGATTGGATATTTAGATAAAATTTTCTTAGTTTGCAATTAACTGAGTATTAGTTTTTCTCCTAATTGTGCAAAACACACCCCACGATCAATGATCATCACGTCATTATCTTTGAACCATGATAACATATCTTGCTCATTGCTGAACAAACAGTGCTTGATAATCGAAGCGTCATTATTGTTGTGATCTGCTAAAAATGGACCAAATACTGCGAGAATGTATCCGTCCTACGTATCAACAAATTAGATTGGCAGAAACAGAGCACAGCTTCTTACGGTTGCTGTAATTATCATTGGTTTTATCAAATTACGATGCTTATGCATGCTGTACGTGCGGCGTTGAAATGTGTTATTTGATGATTTCTGAATGTACAAATATGTGCCATCTATTGCAACACATACCTGATCTAATTGTGAAGTAAGCAAAGTATTTGCAATAGCTGTTTGATGATGAGCAAGAACCTCTTCTCGATTAATATGACTTAGCCCAAGATAAGTTGGTGTAAAATTACTTCCTAAACTCTGTCGAACTTGTTGTAGAATACGTGAAACTGCTCTCTTGTTGCGCAGACGAAATATGGTAGCAAGTACTGAGTTACTAACACTTAACCGGAGTTTCATAAGATAAATAGCCAGAGCTTCTCTTAACGAACGCACACGAGAAGTTCGCATAGTTGTAAGAAATTGAAGTAGATGATTGAAATTGTCTATAATACATATAGTATAAAAGATGATAATGAATTTGAAATCAAAAGTGATATTGATAGGCCTCTTCTGTATTTATTGAAAAACAAGAAATGAGATGCTTTCTATCATACTTTAATAGAGTATATCTGAACAACAAAATATTCGTATTACCTTTATTAAGACCTGTCATTGTTAAATAGTCTGCATCGCTCATACTAGATGGATCATCAAAATCGTTCGACTTTGATGAATTAGCAATAACGCGAAATCCATCAAGACACTGAGTTATCTCTTGTGCTCCCCACATTTCAACACTTGATTTTCCACTCTTTATTTGTTCCAATGCTTCATACGTAAGATGTCTATTATACAGGTGTGTCTTGCAACAACGACTATTTGGTGACACGAAAATTCCTTTTTTCAGAAAAACAAGATTTCTTTGTTGATTTGTCAATCGATGTCTGTTGATGGTATTAGAACAGCCGCATACAATACAAGTTCTTAAAAAAATGCATTTTAACTTACAAACGACTACTCATTCCCTACCTTTCGGATTTCGTTGTTCGATTCACTAATAATTCAACTCTTTCAAGGTCTGATGTTGTTTGTGTATATTGATCAATTCTTTTCGATGATGTATCAGCCAGTTCGTCGACATCCATCTTCTAAATAGAATTTCCTGTTATAAGTGTACAGATAAATACGCTGAAAATGAACGAACATTGTTATCATTTCGACCAACACCGTTTTCAGCTATTCCCTCTTCTTGAATTATAATATGGATGAAGGCAGTACTTGTCTCTTTTTTCCAACAAACGAATTTCAATCGACATGATTGACAAATGCAACTGTTTGAGTCCACAAGACTCAACAAGCGAGCTGACCAAAATACTTTCTCTAACCCTTCACCGATTTTAAAGATTCGACCTTGTCGGATCTGACAGCTGCATCCTATACATATTGGATAAACCATGTTAGTTCATAAAAGTAAACAGCGAAGTGACACTTTATCCCCACTATTAGACAATTTTTATTCTCATTCACACGTGCGATGTGTCATACTATCCGAAGGAACGAAAAGAAATAAAACTTTCTCCACTTAAAGATATAAAAGGCTTTTTCCCATATGCACGTGCAGTATATCATGCTATATACGAAAGAATGGAAAAGATAGAACAATCTTTACTTTATTCGTACAAGAAAATATCCTATGTCGACAATTTTTATTATCTTATGCTCTTCTTCTGTTCTGCTTAAATAACATGATGCGTACATTACGCTGCGCAACGCCTTAAGACAAAATTGATAATATCACCATTAGCTGTTTTATTAACCCTTATGCAAAAATTCAACAGAATAGTTCGACTCAGTTATGTCAGAAATAACACAAACTTATGTACTATAAAACACTTTTTCTTTACTATTCTTTGTAAATGAAGAGCTGATTTGTATATATATCGTTACAGCACACAAATATTATTTTTCAATACATTTTACATATAACCAGTCTGAATACTTTCACACACAGTATGTCTGAGAAACAGGCTCATGGACTAAAAATCATACAAATTCATCTTCTTATCATAGAAGGATTGGCAAATGGTATTAAACTTAAATGAATTTTCGTTTAGCAACGCCTATAAGAGTATAAAAGCATAATTTATTGATTTTTCATCATTTTTTAAGGAGTATATGGCAATAATCTGAGCCAAAAGTAAATCTCGAAATATTTTAATTGTCTTCATTATATCGCTAAAAGATTCCTCTTGAAATTTTACTACGATTGAAATCCTCAATTATGGAAAAAAACANGGATATCATTTAATTTCAACGCAGCCAAGTGGCCATTATTTAGAAGTAAATTAGACCAACAACTGATGCAATGGAACATGGATCGACGATTAAATTCAACATTACACTTAGAAGAATATACTAAGTTTATCACCAAAAGCACCTTGGTAGCAACGCAAGAAGATATTCCACGTATCAAGCAAAGGATTACATCGTATTCACCAAGTGAAGTCTCGAAAAACTTGATTCAACTCAAACATCAAGCATGTCGAAGATGGAGGAAGACTAGAGATGATGTAGACAAACACCAGTACTACAAGTCAAAAGTCCTACTTACAAATTCACTTGGAAACGACAGAAGAAACAAATTTAACAAGTTAATGTCTTCATTATGTCAGAAGAAAATGTATCCGGATGCAGTTTGGCGAACGGTGCGCAAGTTCCACAACAAGCGGATCAAACAAACCTATCCAAACGTCATGAAATACAACAACACTACAGCAAAACCAGACAAGGAGAAGGCAGATCTTTTTGCGGTTTATTTCCAAAATAAGGTCTACTTCGAAGCGCCTGACTCGCTGCCTTTTCATGATCAAGTAACTCGTCGAACAGCCTGCGTTAGAAAAGAAATGACAACGAACTCAAACAAAACTAAGTGGACACAAATCAATGTCAAAGAAGTTAAGTATCGTCTGAAACAACTTCGAAACAGCGCCACAGGTCCTGACAACATCCACAATAGGTGTTTGAAAAATTATTCAAAATTACTTGTCCAACATCTCACGACCTTGTATAATGAAATTTTGAATTACGGTTACATTCCTGACGCGTGGAAACAGGCAAAAATTATTCTTCTCTTAAAGCCGACGAAAGACAAACAACAACCGTCTAGCTATCGGCCCATTAGTCTCTTGAACTACTTAGGCAAGTTACTGGAGAAAATAGTCAGACAACGTCTAATGTCTGAACTTAATCGACGCAACATCTTACCAGAACATCAAGCTGGCTTCAGACCAGGAAAAGTACAGTATACAATATCGTGAGATTACAACAATATGCTGAAAGACAGCTGAAAGCTCGAGGCGTCACTCGGCAGTCGTTCTCTTCGATATTAAAGCTGCTTTTGACTCAGTATGGCATGATGGACTAATTTACAAAGTGCATGATGTAGGTGNAATAGAAGACATGATGAATTTTATACCAAATGAAAGCCCGTGAAAAACGGGGTTTCGTGATGGTAAATACGAAGACTTCGGGAAACTTTCATACGTCAAACTCTTGAAAACACTAAGTTTTGGTCCATAAAAAGTCATTGTAACTCATTGTTATTAGTTTTCAACGTATTGAAAATGGAGAGTCTTATAGAAAAGTGGTAGAGGGTTATGCTAACGATAAGAAAACATAACTGAAACTCAGAAAACAAGATGATTCTCTTGCGTTCTTTTGTTTACTATTCGTAGTTTCAGTTCTTCTATCAAAGCTTTTCTCTTTTCGTTCTGCATAGAGGTGCTCAGCCGAGAGAAACTTCGGAGGTGTATCGCGTGATATAAAAGATAGTTTTCTTGTCGATATATACCATAACAAAATTCACTCTCTTGTTAAATCATCGCACTTTTATTATTTGAAATAGCCGGTACTTATGATACCGAACAACAGAGGATGGTTGACAGAATTAAGTGCATCGCTTTTCGTGAAGCGCGTGATGCTGGTGCAACATTTATAAATAGACAATGGATTGCGGACAAAATTCATCGCACAACTCGATTTGTCTCAGAGTGGTGAGAAAAACCATATGACCAATGCTTTGCTGACTATTTCAATGTTGGTGCTAAGCCTAAATTATCGGAAGCTAGTTGAGACATTATTCGTCAAGCAAGTGGTCAACAAAGAAAAAGCGGTCCTTTTGTGGCGAAGGAGATTGCAGAAAAGCAAAAAGAATATGCCACCGGAAGAATAATTAATAATTACCGTCACAGAGAAGGATTAAAACCATTTCATGTTATTCCAAAACCGTTAAAATCTGAAACTCATATATCAAATCGATTATGGCTCTGTGATTGGGTAAAAGATTGCACTGCGGAAGACTTTCTTCATCTGGCACCATCTGATGAGTTTTATATTTGGACTGTCCGTCGACCAAATTATCAAAATGATAGAATCTGGGCGAAAAATATCGAGGACATTACTGAAGTCGAAAGATATCGTGAAATGGTACGAGTACGAAATCAATCATGTGTTGGAGTTTTTTGTAATGTTCACTTACAAAAGATTACTATGGATCATCAAAGATAAAGGGGAATCTTGGACAGGTGAATATTTTCCTGATATTGTTTTAATTCAAAATGTGATTCCTTTTTTAAAAAATGAAGAAAATGTTATTGATCCTGATGAAGTCATATTTGTTCACGATAAAGTGCCGTGTATGCGAGCAAATAAAACTCAACATTTACTCCAAGACAACGATGGCAAATTTTGGGGTAATGATACCTGGCCAGGAAATTCACCTGATCTCAATGCGGCAGAACATATCGGGTCAATAATTAAAGATGAAGTTGAAAAACAAATGGCATCGGAAAGTGGACATCATCGATATTCTGAAGAAACGCTCAAAATGCACATCGCAAATGTTCTATCAAGCATGGAAGAAGATACTGAATTATTTGAAACTCTTCTATATTTATATACATCTCGATTTCGTGCTGTAAAAAAGCTAACGGTCGTCATACAGACTACTGATCATACTCATCAAACTATGAAGAAAAGCTATTTTGTAATACATTTCATTCGATCATCATTTGATAAACTAGTTTTCTCATAACTTTCATGCATGTAAAATCGGAACTTTCCCGAA